CCCCCACCCCATATGTGCACATACAAAAAAAATCTTGTTTTTGCTCTTGATAGTGAAACCGATGAAAATGCAATGTGCCTGATCATATCCAGACTAGTCACAAGACTAGTCCTCTGCAATTAACACGGAAGATCATGATTACTAGTTCTGTCACAAATTGCATGGTATCACTTCGTGGAAATGGGGGACCGATTTCATGGATGCATCAAATCTGCTTTGGGTTTCATTTTGTACATTGCATGCGCTCTCCAAGGTGCTGAAACCATTTAGCTGAAAAGGTTTAGTGCTTTGTCTAGTTCCTACAATACTCAGACTAAAATCCATCAGAGTGTTTCATCCCTGTGAACTCAGTATTACCAGATTCCACTAATACCACTGGGAATGGATCATCTCGTTTTCTAGACACTCATTGCCAATTAGTTCTCAACAGCTTCCAAAGATGACAGAACATCAAAGCATCTCTATGGATGTATTACGCTCTAAATTCTGTGTCAGGCACGCATTAAAAAGAGCAGAGGCTTGAAATTGCCATCTCTGTCTAAGAGGTTATTAAGGCATTTCATGTTGTGGAGTTGTATTTCCTGTGATAACATTCTGCAATTAAAGGATATGGAGTGTGTGCACTGGATGATATGCAGGAACCATATTGCACTTACTCACAAGTACAAAAAGTCAGGTTTGCCCCACTATTACCATCCTTGAAATCAGAAAGCTGAGAGTATGTTCACTCTGTTTCAAATGTGGTCAATATTCCAAACAATAAGGGACTCTAGTGTGAATCCACAGAACAGCTCTTGGCATATTTTTACATTGACCGCTTAAAAAGCAGACCTTATCCTTTATCACAAGTTAATATAGAAGCTACCGAATTTCCAAAGTGTTTTGCCGTATGATAAGGTGGGCTGGAGGAAACTCACTGAACACATCTTGGCTGTGTGAAATATTTACATCATCCTGTAGTCCTGTTTCCCTCCCCCCCCACACACACACACAAATGCTGAGCTATAGTAAATGTAGAAATATCTCAGAGAAGATGCAGGGTGGAACTCTCCTCTCTAAGGAGGCAGTCCTAATCTATGGATACGTTTGGGGTTTTTAATCATAATTCAGAATTTTGGGGGTTTTTTATTACACTTTTTTAAACAAGAGAAATAGGTTTTGTGAATATTTCAAGATCTGGATTCAAAATACTTTCCTACCATATATTTAGGTCATAGGTATAGTCTCAATATGTGTTCTAGCATTCACAAGACCAGACGGGCACTGCTAAGAAGCCAAACAAGCATTGACTTTGTTAAATCGACATCAATGATGAATGGAGCCCATTAAATCATATAGGATAGCTCTGTTTTGTTCACTCATATCACCAATTCTTAAATTCCCTAATCAGAATAGAGAGAAATGTAGGCATATTGTACACTGCAGAAAGTTTAGTGGTTTAAGTATCTGCAGAACCAGAGGTTGGGAGGTTAATTCCCCACTGTGCCTTCTTGACAAGGACTGGACTCAATGATCCATAGGATTTCTTCCAGCTTTTAAGATTAAATAAATATATATTATTGTTACAAGGAATTGACAAACAGAAGTTGATGTTTCTATACGGAAATAACAAATGGTTCCTATTATATCTTGGAGCTGTTGCTTATTTCTCATCTTTCTACATTGGGATTCATACACAAGATGAAACATGTAATACTAATGAAAATTCAAAACATCTAAGTATGGATAATGTTATTGGTTTTTTTTAAGTGGCCATTGTTCTTTCAAAATCTATAGTATATAGGGGTTTTATTTAATGCAGATGTATGGTGTATTTTATATGACTCTCAACAAATAGAAGATTACATCATGAGCTAAAATTAGTCTGTACCAATGCTTTTGATTATTAGCTTCACACACTGAAATGGAAATGCAGCAACAGCAATACCTTTTATTGATTAGCACCTGATGTGTTGATTAATTTAGCAAGTATCTCCACTCCTGATGCAGAATTATGGCCCATCTGCTGTTATTAATGGCTGAAATCCTGTTGTGCAGTTATGCAAAAGGTGTAACTTTTAGAGGCAAAATGCCATAAGTTAAGAAATCTTGGTAGGCATTGTCTGTTGTCTACTGATGCAGACAATTCACACTGCAACAAGTAACGCCCATGGATGTGACTTGATGTACAGCAGTTTGCTGCTTAAAGTTACGCTGTTTGTGTAATTACGCAACTGGATTTTAGACAATATTTCCAAACTACCCATGCTAGTTTGTTATAATATGTATGATAAGCAAAGGTAGTGTCGCACCTTTAATACCAAAAAGATTTCTTTTAGTGTGAAGTTTCTTGGCTTCCATTGAGTGACACAATAACCTTGTTTTCACTCTTGATTGTCTTATGCAAATACAACCACTGACTCATTGGGCCTGGGAATTCTTGAATGTTCTTGGGAAGCCAGTAAACACAATATAATGGGAAATGTTAGATCTATTGGTTGCACTGTCAGTCAAGTATTTTTGCAAACACTTCAAACCCTGGAAGACGAACCTTCTATGTGTAATTTGTACAATTCTTTCTTCCAAGCTGTTTTCAAAGGGTTTTTTTTTTTACAAATGAATTGTTAAGTGTAGCAAAATGACTGTCATGAACATGATCTCTGTGTTTCCAAAACAATGTAACATTAATGTATTCTGTTTCCTTTTCACGTTATTGTAAAGTTTTTCTGAGAATTTGTTCCAGTTTGGGCTTTTTATTATGTACCAAAATGTGCAGATCTGTTCGTATTTGGAATGAGGAGTCAACTCTTAAGATTCAGAACATTTTAATACAGAGGAAGCTGAAATCGAGAGACTTACCCATGCAAGCCTAAGGCTTTGAGAGTTTAACTCTTCATAGGCTTGGTTTGAAGCCTTGTGTATCCACCATTGTTAAAAGTGGGTTGTCCCTCTCTTTTACTTCCTCATGTTTAAGAATGGTGGCAGAGATAGGCTTCCCAAAGCCTTCTCCATGCTAAGAATACCTATACTTACTGAGTTTGGATCATCAGATGGATGAGAAGGCCATTTCAGTTCATTGTTTTGAAGAATGTGTACAAATTTGGAAATTTGTATCGGATGAGAACAGCTTGAGGTTTCAAAACTATGGATGTGGGAAATGAACAGGTTTTCTCATCCTTAGTGTTATGAAGGATTTTCATTTTGTTTTTATTTTGTTGAAAATGTTTTTCTTCAGCTCCAAAAACCTGTTCTTGGACCATTAGATACACGGTATCATTCAACGATTGCTTAGTATATCATGTTAGCCAACTTATTGTAGACTTACTGTAGACAACGACATCTGCATGTCAGAATTGACACAGACATCCTACACTCATGCGTTTTTGAGAAGCCCCTGTAGATGGGCTTTCAACAAGGTTGGCTTGGATGTATGAAACTGTTCCTGAAAAGCAAAACGGAGAGAACCCTGGCTTGGACTTTGCAACGCTTGCCGCACCAGTTGCCTGCAGGATGAAGCCCCAACTGTGGATGCTGAAAGGTCTAGTGTTTGAAACTTGGGGTTGCTGGGAATAGCCTCTACACATGAGGAGAAAGACCAGCATGCTGATGTTGGTTTTTAAAGGACTGTAATATTTTTTTTTTGCCTGCATATTGTGTCTTTTAACAGCAATGGCAATTAACAGCTGTTCAAATGTTTAGCCTGAATTCTATGGAAATAATATTATTTCATGATGCTTAATGTGCAAAGTGTATGCCTTAATTTTCAAATATACAGTGCAGTTATGGAAGACGTCATCTGCTGTCCACTGCTATTCAGAAGTCTCCTTGTCTAGAACCGTGGTTTCTTGCTTACTGGATCATTGTCACTGATCTGTCGACAATTTCCTATACATTTCTCAGGGGCCATATGTTTACTTTATATTGAATCAGTCTTTCTCACTTTCTACCACTGTGCTGTCTGAACTAGCACCAGTTTTCAGGGTGTCAAGAAGAAGGCTTTCACTGCCCGACACCCTGGAAAAATGCTACTTGCTCCCTAGTCCTTTTAACTGATGGTATCAGAGCTTGAATCTTTGATCTTGCACGCCTGAAATAAATTACATGCTCTGCTCCTAAACTATAGCCACACTTATTGCCCTAATCCCAAATTTAAAACTATTACCCATTGAGAGTTCAAGATTAAAGAAAATGTGTTGTTATATTCTCTTGCTGTTACTAAATTACGCTACAGCTCCATTGATGCAGCCTACAGAAAATGGGTCATGATCTGGATCGCTGAAACTCAGTCCAAATCCCCAGTAACATAAGGGAAGATAATAGTCCTCTTTTACGCCTTCCCTTGACTTAGAAGGCATTTCTTAGCCTTAATGGTAGTTTATCTCAGGTTACATGAGCTGGTCAACTCTGAACCACTTTGGGCCCATGGATCATCAGTTCTTCTTGAGGTCAAGGTCTACTGCTTAGGAGCCACTGTTGTAGAGAATGGAGTTGTCTATGTTGTTTCCTCCACCGTTCATCCATGCATTAGCCGTGAATGTTTGCAAGAAAGGTTTTGAGATGCCTTTCTGTTTTATGACTAATGTGCGCTGACACATATTGTTATCCTTGTGGTGCGAATGCGTGTTCCTAATTTTACTGTGGAAATGGTAAAGCTGTATGCCTAGCTTTTCAGCATAAATGTATTGGCAAAGTAAAGATGTTTCTTGGTTTCCAGAAGGTAAGAAGCCATCTCTTAGCCCAGCTCATAGGCTCAGAGGTAAATGTTATGGTACGGCTTTGTCCTTCCTTTTTTCTCTCTCTCTAGCTGTCTTGTGCAAGAATAGTGTGCATAACCCATTCTTAATCTCTGTGAAGAGCGTATCGTAACTTAACAAAAGTTTTATCTTTTCCTTGGTATACGTATCTAATCCTTCTCTCGTGGCTCTTCTTTGCATGCTTTGGAGTGCAATTAGCCGTGCATTCGAGCGGTTGCGCATGTTAACACCCGTCTAATCTCTTATTCTTGTCTCTGTTATCACCAGGCCTCCTGAACCCGTTTACAGCACTGTGAACAAATTCTGTGATAAACCACCTTCTCCTAGGCACTATTCCCCTGTCGAGTGTGAGAAAAGCTTCCTCCTTTCAGCTCCCTACCCCCACTACCACATAGGCCTGCTCCCTGACTCTGAGATCATCAGGTACTGCATGCGCTTCTTCCTCACTTCCTCATACTGGAATGCATGAGCGTCGCTCAAGTGCATGGGGAACGAGACTCCATCTTATTCACTCGTGCCGTGAACCTCACTCTGCAAAGGCTTGTGCTCACTTACAGCTTCCACCTCGTTGGGTTTATGACCACAACAGAAAACAGGCTGAGTTTTCTGTTAAGGCAGCCACAGAGACATCTGAGAGATGTAGTAGAAAGGTAGACAATGGACATGTACAGTGCCCATTGGCTCTATCTATGCCAGCCTTGTCTACTATAAATAGCACTGACTCACGAAAGGCATTTCCAAACCTATGAACTGGGATTGACTTTAAATTGACATGGTGTGAGTTGACCTTGTGATTTCTTGCATTGAACATAGATAGGACAAGCATTATGTTTTTGAACTACATATCCTGGAATAGTCCAGCCTGTATGGCCAGTTATTGCAGACAAACAAATAAACCCCCACCAGCTGGATTTGTAGTCCAGAACTGTAACATTTCCATTTCTGATGTAAAGCTAGTGTCCACTATGAAGGCATGAAGACCCCCACAAATATACAAAAATCACAGTACTGTATTGCTAGATTAAAGCTAATACATTTTTCTAAGTGGGCTTCAATGGTGAAACAGATAGTGGGGAAGAGAGAAGGTGAAGAGCAACGGAAGAGACAAATTAGGAATGCCTAGATGTTTTTTTCTCTCTTTTGGACAAGATTAGCCGTAAATGGAGGAAAGGAACAAAACAGCGTAATGAGATGCCAAAGTTTTCTGAGTGTCTTTTGACAACAAATCTTTCTAAAGCTAATTACCTGTTTTCCAAACCTTTCCTCTTATGGTTGTCTCTTCTAGTGACTTAGCACAGGTGGACAAAAGCTAGATAATGGCACGTGAACCTAGCATAGGTGGTACTCATACCCGAGGAAGCATATCCCCCCATGTGATCCTACCCCAAGCTAATGTTCACATCAGATAACCTGCACCATCAGGTGGTCAAGAGATAGACATGAGAGACAGGACCATGGATGTTGGAAATTTCTGCTTGGTCCTGCCATTGCTATGAACAATGAAGATAGTCATGTTTAAGAATGCCTTTGGTTCCTTCGGTTCATGTGGTTTCTTTTAATTGTGTGTTACATAGTCCCATTTTTATCTGTTTGTTGTTGTCTGTTTGTTTTATTTTAATACATGATATAGCTATGTGCCAGATCCATTTATGACTGGGGCTCCTAGATGTTAGTCTTTCTTTAGTTTGTTCTCGAAGGTAAGGACAAGTATATTCAGTTTTTCCCCTTTTCTGATGGGCAGGATTACGAGAATTTTTGACCGTTTCATTGCATATTGGGCCTTTTTTCCTAAAACTTTGCAGAACTGTATTTTTATTATTTAAAAAAAAGGTGTGGTACTTTACATAAAATATATTTTAAATATATTTTTTGCTACCAATGATTAAAAATGTACTTGTGACAAACCCAGACCTACTGGGATATGCCACAGTTTCACTAAGCTGCCACCAACCATTCCCTATAAGAGGTCACACAGACCAGGGATGGATTTTTAAACAAATAAAAGAACAAGGTTTATTGAAATACAACACACAGGGAAAATAAAATAATCAGGTGAATAAGATAAAGTAACGTGGCTTAGTTTCACTCATACATACACACAGTTTGGTTCACACAGAACCCTTAACTTGAAGCACAGACCCTGAACCTATCAGTTCTGGCTAACCAACAGACACCTGAACCTATCAGGTTGGTACTCTGACACACAGTAGTACCCTGTCTGACACACAGACTCCCACAACAGCTTCTTCTTCCCAGCTGCTGCTTCGTCACAACCCAGTGTCTCCCAGCATCTCTTCTCTCACCACACAGGCATCACAAATTTATACAGTACAGCCCCTCCTCCTGATGTCCCGCCTTCCACTCCCCATAGGATGGAACTTTCCCTCCAAACCCATGACAGACAGGTAACATCAGTGCTGTATGTAACACCTCCCCTCTTTATAAGTTGTTTTGTAGGGGGAAAGCTAAGGTGCTTTTCACCAAAAAACAACCTGGACCAAATACACAA